TCACGAGCGGAGGAGCACTGCTGCCGTGGCTCGCGTGCGGAGGGCCGACGTGGCTGCGGTGGTTGCGCGCGCGACGGTGACAAGGCTGAGAGACAGATTTCACGGGGAAAGGATGGGCGATTTTTGCTGAGTTATTTCCAAGGTTTTAGAGCATATGAGATGCATTAGATGGTCTAAAAATGAGGGCAAAAACGTGTGAAATAGGGAGAAGATTGTAGCAAAAATCCTTAGGTAATTCAAGAGGAATCAAGTGATCTTATTTCCTTAATTAGAGGCCATCAAAGCATCAAATGCTCACTAAATTTCGATCAAAGGGGGAAGGGAAAGAGTTGGTCCAAACTTTTCATAAGAGCTTAAGGTTTAATTTGAATTTTGAACATAAAAAGAGAGCCAAAATAATTCTAAGGAAAAAGTGAACTCTTAGGGCCGGTTTTGCTTGGCATTTGGGCCTAATTTGGCAAGGAAAACTTGGTCAAAATATGATCTCTACGATCCGGTTAAAATACCTAAAAAATGAGTCGAAATGGATCGAAAACGGTTCTTCGCGATTGAACCGAAAATTGTCAAACTTACTAGCTAATAAATTAAATTATTCCTAACCAAGCCATACACACAATATAAAAATAAAATCAAGCACGTATGAATGAGGGCAATCACAGTATAAAATGAGTACATAATAATAGTTAAACGCAAGCAATAATAAAATGAAACACAAACAATCAATAAACATAAGGACGAGGCAACATATAAGACGAAGGAAATCACATAAATAAAATGAGCACTTAGAAATAAATTAATGTAAGTAATAAGGGAATAAAATCGAGCGATAATAAAATTCAGGTAAGCAAAAATATAATAATGCGATAGATCCTATGAATCGAAAGAAGCACTACAATCTACCCTCCTTAAAAGATTTTCGTCCTCGGAAATACAAAAATATAGGTAACCTCAAAAGGAACAACATATACAAGAGAGAAGTTCAAACTATGAAGCTTGGAGACTCCATCCAAATCTCATCCTCTCTCTCCCAATCGCATTGCCCTCGCCTCGGCGACCCTGCTGGATTTTGAGGAGTACCCCTCTCGGCCTCTCCTTGATGGACCCTCTGATTCAACAGGCCACCGGTACCTCAACACAGATAGGGTTCTGCCCAACATGTAGCTCGTCAAAGTTCACCACGTGCCCCGGGATCATGCACATGTCCCCTCTACTACGAGGCACAGAACATGTCGTTCATTCCCGTAAGCTCCGGTGGTGGAGTCAACCGTCAGGCTAAGTCGTCTACTCAGTTTAGAATCTCAAATGGACTGATAAAGTATGGCTGTAACTTCCTCTCTTCTCAGAATCGAGGCATACTACACCTCCATCCGTACAAATGTCTCGTACGATACTATCAGAGTCATTGCTTAATAACCATTAGTATAAGCGAATCTACCCATAGTAAGGAATCCTCACACGACATACCTATCAAGTACACAAGACCCCAACCGGTCTCTCAGTGCCTCAACAGTATGCTCCAAACGTCCAACTATCTAGGTTAGATACATAGTAACAAGCTTCAGTCTCGTGCCCGGGTCACGCTGAAAACTCGCCCGATCTCGCCGCAAACCCTGCGTCTCTCCCAGAGAAGAACGACAAGGTATTCCATGTAGTCGGTCCAACTCCACTACACTCTCCTTCATTGCAATTTCGACACCTCGGAGCGCATAGTCTTTACTCGAAACATATGGCTCTGTCTAATGCCACTGCAAACTTTCCTATCTTGCTAACTCGAGAAACTCCCGAATATGGCATAGAAAACCACCGTTTGACTATTTGGTATCGATCTTATTTTGCAGAGTCGGTCTCATGACTAGTGGTGTTCATCAACACTAGTTATAGACGATGACTCCACTACTTCGATCTCTAACCGATCAATCCTCAAATCAACAACCCTTGCTGAATAATCCAACAAACTAGCTCATCTTGACTCTTCTGACTAAAAGTGTTGGCCGCCACATTAGCTTTCTCCAAACGATATCTAATTGTGCGGTCAGTCCTAAGCGAGCTCGAATTACCTTGGTAGTGGCCGGTTGGTCCAAGGAAGTACGAACCTCACTCGCGTCCCTTGGAACTTTCTGGTTATCTACTGCCTCTAACTTGCTACGATGCACTTCGATTCCCTTGGTTGTAATAATGCGATTGAGAAATGACAACTCCATCTAACAAAACTTCTAATGTTGCTTGACCTTAAAGTCTTACGAGGGAGACCTAGGTTATTGCAATACATGCATAAATATCCAGAATCGGTATGCGTTACACGTAAGTGACTTGGCAGTTGTGGTATGAACAGCTGACCTAGTATATGGCAATGCGGCATTCTAAGCACGACACTTCTTACGACTCGAGATGCATCATCGAGCGCGGCACGCTTGTGCGTGGCACCAGCACGCAGTACGCCTGCATAACCTACAGCTAGTAGCTACGGATCTGCATGCTGCTGGGCACGTCAGGGGCATCAGACGTGGCACATGAGCTGCGGGTTATAACGGGCGTCAGCTGGTGTGCGGGTGCGCGCACAGGGGCTGCGGGCTATCTGCGGCTGCGGCCCGACAGCCGGTCGACAACTTTTCAAGGCTCGATTCAAAAGGCTAGGGGTCGAATCTTTCAACAAAATTTTAGCCGAGTATAACACATCAAATGAAGGTCCCATACGAAAAAATTCAAGTCAAAATCATGGGCCGATTATTTGATAAAAGTTTTGGAACAAAGGGGTGTCACAAGGCTTCAACAATTCACAATTAATTTCTCAAAGGCTCAAACTCAATCAAAGCCTCCAAATCAACACCAAAGCATCAGAGGAGTTCCAAATCCACGAGATTTCTCAAGAAATTATCCAGATCTATGAATTTCACACATGAATCAAATAGATCTTAATTTTTCTAAAGTAGATCCAACATAAACTCAATAGGATCTATACAATTAATACCACAAGCATATATATCATAGGGTTTAAAGCCAAAATACCGGTCACCAACAAATCTACAAGCAAAAGAAGGGCTGACTCGGGCTAAGGGGGCAGCCTCGGCGGCTAGGCGCGCGATTCGGCGACGTGCGCGAGTGCGAGGAGCGGGGCTAGCGTTGCTAGACGTGGACCGAGGGCGAGGCTCGCAAACAGGGGAGCAGCAATCGAGGGTCGACTGTGGAGCGGGCTGTGGTGAAAGACAGAGGCTCGCGAGCGCAGGAGTGTTGCTGCGATTGCTCGCATGCAGAGGGGCTGGCGTGGCTGCGGTGGTTGCGCGCGCAACGGTGAGAAGGCCAAGAGAGAGATTTTGAGGGGAAAGGAGGGGCGATTTTTGCTGAGTTATTCTCAAGGTTTTAGAGCATATGAGAGGTGTTCAATGGTATGAAAATGAGGGAAAAATTACGTGTGAAATAGGGAGAAGATTGGAGCAAAAATCATTAAGAAATTGATTAATTTGAATTATGAACATAAAAAGAGAGCTAAAATAATTTTGAGGAAAAAGGGCCACAATGAACTCTTAGGGCCGGTTTTGCTAGGAATTTGGGCCGAATTTGATAAGGAAAACTTGGTCCAAATATGATCTCTACGGTCCGGTTAAAATACCTCAAAAACGAGTCGAAACGGATCGAAACAGTTTTACGCGATTGAACCAAAAATTTCCAAACGAACTAACTAATAAATAAAATTATTCCTAACCAAGCCATACACATAATATAAACATAAAAGCAAGCACATATGAATGAGGGCAATCACATTGTAAAATGATCACATAATGATACTTAAATGCAAGCAAATAAAATAAAACACAAACAAGAAATAAACATAAGGACGAGACAACATATAAGACGAAGTAAATCACATAAATAAAATGAGAACATGGAAATAAATAAATTTATGTAATCAGGGAATAGAACGATAATAAAATGCAAGAAAGCAAAAATATAATAATGCGAGAAATCATATAAATCGAAAGGGGCGCTACAGAAAGAATGGAAGCCCAAATTTAATAAGATCTTGATAATGCAGTTCCATTCTATCCTATTATATGCCTTCATCATATAATGGTATTTATTCCCCGACCTGTGTCTGTTTAAAAAATGCACTACTTCCTGAGCCACTATCACATTGTCAAGCAACGATCTCTTCTTCACAAAAGCTGGCTGGCTATCACTAATAATCCTTCCTAATAATGGCTCCAGTCTAGTAACAAGGAATTTAGATACTACTCTATAAGCAACTCCACACAAGCTAAATGGTCCTGTAGTTGCTAAGAGATGTAGGATTGGTGTATTTAGGAATCAAGGTAATTAATGTGTGGTTCCATTTTTTTAAGAGTCTGTCTGATTCAAAGAAACTACACACAGATGCACACAGGTCTTCTTTATCACATTCCAAAAGTTTTAAAAAAAATGGGGGACATACCATCAGCTCTTGGAGCTTTTTCAGGGTTGAGGTTGAATGAAGCATTTTTTATTTCTGGCTCCCCCACTTTAGCGCTTAAGAAGTTATCGTCTTCTTCAGAAATTACCCTAGGTAAGAGCTGCATCAAGTGACTTTCTTCCCATGACCCTTCTAAAGTAAAGAGCTGATCATAAAACTCCATCAAACTCTCCACAATTTCTTCCTTAGTTTCCCTGACCAGTTAATTTCCTGCAATGAGTCTAGAAATTGCATTGGTTTTTCTCCTCTGAAGAGTAAATGCATGAAAAAACTTTGTATTGCGGTCTCCTTCTTTAAGCCACTGGGTTCTTGATTTTTGTCTACAAAACCACTCTTCTTGGTCAAATGCTCTATCCAGCTCCTTTTTTACTTTGTCCCACTCCTCCCAGTCTCTTTGACCTCCCTCCAAATTCATATTCTCTAAGAGGGCAGACAACATTCTTATCTTCTGATCATTGCTAGTGTGCACTCCCCTATTCCAAGTCAGTAGAGCAATTCTTGTAGTCTTGATTTTCTCATGGATTCTAAACATTGGAGTCCCTTCTTGTTATTTACTCTAAGCCTCTCTCACCACATCTTTCACCCCTTCCATTTTGATCCACCTTTTGTCAAATCTAAATCTTCTTTTTTTTCTTGAAGCCTCATTCTGGATCAGAGTTTAGGATTAGCATAAGATGGTTTAAAGAGCTTCTAAACCAGCTTTGAACCTGGGCATTTCAGTTTGTTGCCAGCCAATCCAAGATCTAAATCCTTATCTAGTTTTTCTTCAATGTACCCCTCCTGCTCCATATTATTGCCCCAGGTGAAGGTATTTCCATGCATTTCCACCTCTAGCATCCCCATCGTTGCTATAAAGCTATTGAAAGCTAGACATCTTGATCTTTCTTTGCCAGCCCTCTTTTCTTCTCCAGAAAAAATCTCATTCCAGTCCCCTCCTATTACCCATTTATTCCCTTAAGCAGACTTAGCCCCCTCCAAATTATTCCATTGGTCCTCTCTCTTTTTCTTCTCAGTGCTAGGCCAACAGTTACCTTCTTCCCTATTATCCTTTATTTCCACCTCGTACAAAAGATACTACTTCTGATTTGCACAATCTCCATCTTATTAGACCACAAAAAAAGTAGGCTGCCACTTAAGCCAGAAGGTTCACTGGCCAACCATCTATTTTCAAATCACAACTTCTTACAAACAGTCTTAGTAAACTTATTTGATTTACTAGTCTCAGAAAGAAACACCAGTGTTGGGTGGTGAAGCCTTATGGCTTCCTTGACCTGAGATAATGTAGAGGGCCCACCCGGACCTCTACAGTTCCACATGATTGTCTTCATTAGGAAACTTGTGGCAATTCAAGGTTGGACACCACCACCTAGTTCTTATTACCCTTCTGCCTCTTGGATTCCTTTGTCACTAACTCCACATCCTTAACTCCTCTATCATTGCTTTGTTCCTCTTCTCTCTCTCTCTTTTTAAAATAATCCCCTCTCTCTATTCTGGTTCCCCTTTAGATTTTCTCCTTAATCTGCCATCTTGAGAGCCCACCCTCTTCCAGGTTCTAGTAGGTGTCCCTGCTAGAGTTAGAGGTTTGTTGTTTTCTTCATGCATAAGCATCAACTCTTTTCCCCCTATGCTTCTATTTCAGTTGCCAAATCCATATTTATTAAGCTCAAATTATGCTCCTCACTGTGTACTTCTTTCTGACTTGTTTCAATTATGCTCGTCGGCACCAATTGTGTTAAAGGCTGATGATTCCTGCAGCTCTGAACTACATCCTATAAGCTCCTCTTTCCCTTTCTTCCATTCTCAACTCCAACCTTCTCTCTACTCTCCATCGCTGTGGAAGATCAGTTAGGAGAAGGGTTAGTTGCCTTCTATAAACCTTCAGTTGAGCTATTTGATTTATTTTGAGAGCTGTTTGATCTCTGAGGAGGTTGAGTTTCTACAGCCTTCATCCACTTGCCGAATTGTCCCTCATTCAGATTTGCATGTTTGATATCTTCTAACCTCTTAGAACAGGACCTTTCTAAGTGTCCTATTTTCCTGCAATAGTGACATAGATTCACTAGCTTTCATACAGGAAGGTTTCCTGCGAAGGATGTTCTGAGAGAAATCCATGAAGGATGTTGCAGAGCACATGTAGGATCTCGAGCACTGACTGGCAAAGCCCAGCGAGGAGGGTATTACTGGCCCAAGGTGCGAGCAATGGCGGAGAAGCTCGTGCGAGAATGCGATAAGTGTCAGCGACACGGCCAAGTCACCCATGTTCCAGCTGAATATATGACGACAATCAACTCTCCGATACCCTTTGCGTAATGGGGAATCGGCTTGGTGGGCCCGTTGCCAATGGGGACGAGACAAAGAAAATTCTTGGTGGTCGCGGTCGACTATTTTAGCAAGTGGGTCGAGGCGGAACCCTTGGCGCGAATTATTGAAGAAAAGATGATACAATTTCTGTTCAACCATATCTGTTGTCGATTTGGAATTCCGAAGGTGTTAATCTCAGACAATGGAACCCAATTCCAAGGAAAACGGATCCAAGCATGGTGCCTCGACATGGGAATCAAACAGAGATTTGCGTCAGTCGCACATCCACAAGCAAATGGGCAAGTCGAAGTTACTAATCGAACTATCCTCCATGGATTGAAGAAAAGACTGGAAAAAGTGTCGGGAGCTTGGGTTGACGAGTTGACAACAGTCTTATGGGCCTATAGGACGATAAGAAGTTTGACGGGACAATCCCCATTTCACATGGTCTATGGGATGGATGCGTTATTGCCAATTGAAGTCGGCCTCGACACCCACAAATCGAAGTTCTACGAAGAAGGAAAAAACGAGGAGATGATCGAAGAAGCCCTAGACCTAATTGAAGAAGGTCGAGAAGAAGCCTGGGTGCGATCTGTCGAGTACAAACAGAAGATGCGAGCAGCCTTCGACAAGAAGGTCCGAACCAGACGATTCCAAGTGAGGGACCTCGTCCTCAAACGAGCCGACGCTCTCAAACATGTCGGCAAGCTCGAAGCTAACTGGGAAGGACCCTACACTATCACAAAGGTGCTCGAGAGGGGTGCATATGAACTCGAGGATGGAGAAGGTCGACAACTCCCGCGATCCTGGCATGTGATCCATCTCAAACATTTTTACGCTTAAGGCAATATTTCGAATTACTTTTTGTACTGATCAATGTCTGAATTGAATTCAATGATGAAATGAATCTGTTTTATGCTTCAATTATGTTTCTTACATTTACACGTCGACTTCAATATGATTGTATGAAAAATCGAATTTTTCAAAACGGCTATGAAGCCGACTAACTTTGCAACGATTAAAAAGTCGACTAACACAACTACGAAGTTGTAAATTCTCGAGCAGGCTACGAAGCCTTCGACTACGAAGTCGACTAACACAACTACAAAGTAGTAAATTCTCGAGCGGAATCTCGAGCAGGCTACGAAGCCTTCGACTACGAAGTCGACTAACACAACTACGAAGTTGTAAATTCTCGAGCAGAATCTCGAGCTGGCTACGAAGCCTTCGACTAAGAAGTCGACTAACACAACTACGAAGTAGTAAATTCTCGAGCGGAATCTCGAGCAGGCTACGAAGCCTTCGACTACGAAGTCGACTAACACAACTATGAAGTTGTAAATTCTCGAGCGGAATCTCGAGCAGGCTACGAAGCCTTCGACCACGAAGTCGACTAACACAACTACGAAGTTGTAAATTCTCGAGCGGAATCTCGAGTAGGCTACGAAGCCTTCGACTACGAAGTCAACTAGCACAACTACGAAGTTGTAAATTCTCGAGCAGAATCTCGAGCAAGCTACGAAGCTTTCGATTATGAAGACGATTAACACAACTACAAGGTTGAAAATTCTCGAGTGGCATCTCGAGCAGGCTACGAAACCTTCGACTACGAAGTCGGCTAGCACAACCATTAACAATTAGCACTCTCGAATGGAATCTCGAGCAAATTACAAATCTCACACTCATGACATCGGTATACACAATTATGTAACTATTGCGTTTACAGAATGAAAAATCTCGTACAATCAACTTTGATACACATCTAGACAGCGAACACCAACACAGCTAAGAAGCTGTTCAAATCGTTGCTCGACTTCGACCAGCTCGCAAGAAGGGTTAGGGAGAAGACGAGTTGAAAAACTTGTGTTTCACAGCTAAGAAGCTGTTCAAATCATTGCTCGACTTCGACTAGCTCGCAAGAAGGGTTGGGGAGAAGACGAGTTGAAAAACTTGTGTTTCACAGCTAAGAAGCTGCTCAAATCATTGCTCGACTTCGACCAGCTCGCAAGAAGGGTTGGGGATAGAGCATACGGGAAATAGCAGCAAGATAATTTGAAATACAATCAACACAAACGATGAAGAAAAAAAAAAGAGTAATATTGATAAACGAAATCCATTACATTCCGCGTCTCCCCGACCTTTACACATCTCGAAAATAGGTCGAGGCAACATATCTTATAATTTTCTTAAAACAAAAGAAACAAGGAAAGCAGAAGCAACATTTCTAGGACTCGGCATCAGATTTTTCATCTACATCATCATCTCCAGCAGCAATGCTCTGAGTTTTCTCAACGCTGTCACCCCCGCCTTGCTCGACCGCCGCGGCTTCTCCTTCCTCGGCCAACTCTTCATCCCTCCCGACTTCGAGAGATTCCTCATCATCCGCCCCACTTGGGCCGACTAAGTCGGTCGGACCGCCCAAGGGAGCGGGAGGAACCTCCAATCGACCCTCCAACTTGGCCTTGCGAATGGCCCTCGCCTCGAGACCAACCCACCATGGATGGTCGGGAGGAAGAGTCGTATCCCCCCTACAGTCGGCGGGAAAGGGAAGAGTCTTTTTTACCGCCTCGTGGTCGAGCCTACCTTCGCATTCGGTCTTTTCCACAGCCTTCTCCCACGCGTCGAAGGTAAAGTCGAAGTACTGAAGAGTAGCAGGACAAAGCTTGTCGAGGAAGGCAGGGGAGTTGCAGAAGAGGTTGACAGTTTCTTGTCGATAATGCTCTAAGAAAACGGAGCCTACCGGGGACTTGAGAAAGGTCCTGCATCCCTCGAGAACACCCGCCTCCCTCTCGACCAGGGCATAATCTGCGGCCTTCTCCAAATCGGCTCGCAGCTGGTCAACCTTTGAAAGGGCCGCAGCCTTTTCAGTTTTAAGTTTAGCAACGAGGGCGTTAGCTGCGAGGAGATCATCGTCCTTCTTCTCAAGCTCGAGAAGCAGATCCTCGTACTTCTTCTTGTAAGCACGGACGTTGGAGTCGGGCGAGGCGGTGTCCTCGACAAGAGAGGGCATAATAAAAGCCATAAACTAAAAAAGAACCGCGAATAAACGAAGTCAGAAAAAGTTAAAAACAAAAGTAGAAATAATCGACTGAATGAAAAGATAGGTTACCCGGGAAAGACAAAGGAGCGCACAACTAGCACGGTCGTAGGGATCACGGTCGGCGCGGGCCTTGTCGGCAGCGGGAATGATGGAGTCAAAATACTGAGCGATCTCGTGAGGATGAGGGTGATCCCAAAGTCGGGAGGGCCTCTCGAGGGTGACCGTCTCGAGTTGTCCAGGAGGAGGAGCTTGCTCGACGGCCTTACCCTTGTCTTTAGTCTTCTGGCGCTTGAGCGAGCCAGGGACAAGGGTGGCGTCGCCTGCATCTTGAGCCCGCTTTCGGGGAATCGAGCCCGAAGCCTTCTTCTGACTCCCCGAAGGCGGGGGTGCAACCTTTGATTTCTTGGAGGCAGTCGCCTCGACTGCTGTCTCTCCCGCACCCGATTTCGAGACAAAGTCGGGCTTCTTCGGAGGGGTGGGTCGAGCCGCCGTCGACTTCTCAAACCGAGCAAGAACGGAATCTACAAACGAGCATCAAATATCAGACACCAACATAAATACTCAAAATAGTGAGAGCATGAAAATCACTTACGAGGATTGTCGAG